AAAGTCCAGTTATTACCATGATGTATTAGAACTCACAGAGAGCATCTGTCCCATCCCTTTATCTCCTTGTCCTCTCTTCCCTTTTGGCTAATTTGGCTTCACTCACACAAACTTAGTTGATGTTGCACAACTTTGCCACTCATACATTCTACTTTGTGCTTATTGTTTCTTTTCCCTGGTGCTTTTGTTTCCCTGGAAATAATCAGTTTTCTGATGAAAGTGTATCCAAAAGTATTTTCACGACCACCCTCCTATCTAAAATATTTACATATAAACATAAAAAAACTACCCCATCCTCTTTTTATTTTATACCTCTCTTGCCCAGTATCATTTATCACCATCCGACTTAGCTTAAATTTTTTTGTCTTTCCTCTACAAAATGTGAATTTATGAATCAAAAGCTTTTTTTATTTTGTTAAAAACTGCAGAGAATCACTATGATTTGCTCTCTGATTCGTAATCAAGCTTGATGATAGTGGCCTTGAATTAATTTTTTGTTTTTTAGTATCCCAAATACCTTAAAGAACAGTGCCTATCATTTGATAGATAAGCAAATATCTATTGAATGACCAGATAAATACAACCTAAAAAATACCATGACTATCACAAGACTGTTAATTGTTTGGATAAAATTTACTTTATAGATTACTTTGAGTAAATGATACTCCTAATCTCCCCTGGCATACTTGGTAAATAAATCAAACATACTCATCTAAGAAAAGCCTAATGGACTTTTCATGGAAATTCATAAACTATATTATAAACTTGAAACTACATTATAAACCTTTGAAATGTTGCATCATTTTAATTTATTCTACTTTGCTGTTGCTTGCTGTATGCTATTGAGTAAGAACCAACTTTTAGCTGACCAGACAGTGGTTTTCAGAGGCTGTAAAAAACAAGAAAGGAGACTGACCATTTTTCTCCCACTGAGCAGCTGGTGAATTGGAACAGCCTGCCTTTAGGTTGACTGAGTGACTTTTTACCACTAGGCCACTTAGCTCCCTTACTCTAGTTTACTCCTAGAAATATACATTATCAAATAAATGCTAAACATTCTGAACACAAGTTCTGAGGAAACAATAAGCTTAAGTTCTAGGCTAGAGGAGCTTAAGAATGTGATTATTACTGACCTGAGACAAAATTGAAAACAGTGAATGTGAATCTCTCAAGTTCTCTCATCCATTCCTTCATATGGCCAGTATCCTTAAGTCATTCCGGATACACACAGTCTTATCAAGGTTTTCAGTTCTTAGTTGCTCTCTTGTACCATTCGAGACGCAGAGAGTCTCAAAGATGTACTATGAACCAGATTACATCATCATGTAGAGACAAGACAATTAAGACCTTTTCTTCACACAGCTGCGTAGCAATCTAATTAAGAAATCAAAATACCAGTATTGGTAAAGTGTGAGAAATGTAGAAAAACTAACTTAGGGGTTCTGTATTCTTTTAAGGAATTACCATGCTGAAACATTGAATCAGCCACTTTACATACTTGGAAAGCAACAGTCAGTGTTTCATTAGATCTTTAAATCTTGACCATGTATAAATAATATTAAGTGAATTGAAGGGAAGTATTTTAATTAAATGGCTGTGTAAAATATTTTGCTTACTACTGTCACTCAAAAACTATATTAATATCTTAATATCATTGACTCCTTTCACTAAAAAGAAAAAATTAAAATCTTTATTTTATAGGAAAGTAATTTCTTTGAGGAAATTAAAGACACTTGAGTTTTATATGTTTATTGGGATATAATAAATTAGAATATTAAAAAATTATTTTGTATTGGTTTGCTTACAGAGTTGGTATATATTGTGTTTCACACTATCCTTCATAGAATTTCATTTTTTAAAAAACATTTTTTAGAATTTCATTTTTATACCTCAGGATTTAATAGAAACTTTGATTTAATAATCTTAGCACAGCTGTTTTTTTTTTAGCACAGCTGTTACACTAAAGAAAATAAAAATGCTTCACAAGTAAACATTCAAGAAAGTTCAGATCAATTAAAAAAGAAATAATTTGCTTATAATGCTCAATAAAAACGGTCAGCATTCTATTACACAGTTGAGCTGATAAAATGAAAGATCTTAAGAGTTCAATATTTTCTTTATTTTTTCAAATTGTGTGTGTGTGTGTGTGTGTGTGTGTGTGTGTGTACCGTCAAATCGGATCTGACTGGTACAGGAGGAGATGGCTCCTCCTTCTCCGGCAGAGCATCTGGTGGATTTGAACCGCGTATCTTTGGGATTGCAGTGCAGCTTCTTGCCACTAGGCCACCAGAGCTCCCCCAGAAAATTATTTTTCTAAGTAAAGTCAATTAAATATCTGTAGTCAGCTTCTGCTGTAAATAGACTTCATTCTACTACTTTAGATAACTATAGATAAGACTTGGCTGTTCTGATTTCTCAGTTGAATCACAGTTGTTTTGTTGTTTTAATGTGCCATCGAGTTCCTGTGGACTCATATGTGCAGCACCTTTGAAGCTTGCCCTGTCCTGAGCCAGTCTCACTGATTCCAACACACCATCCCCCATTGCTGCAGTTACTGTATCGATCCGTCTCCTCTGGGGTCTTCTCTCCCGTACTGTCCCTGCCACCCTTCTGAGCACGACGTCCTTCTCTAAGGACTGGTCCCTCCTGGCCACATGCCCCAAATATGTGAGATTAAGTTTAAAAATCCTAGTCTCCAAGGCGAAACTTGGTTTTACCCTCTCTAAGACAGAACCATCTTAATGGTTCATGGTATGTTCGGGACTCCTCTCCAGCATCACTACTCAAAAGGCATTAATTCTTCTAGTGTCATCCTTAGTCAATTGTCCAGCTCTCTGATGCATAGCAAGTAACTGCAGAGACCGTGGCCTGAATCCGGCACACTTTAGTCTCTAGACTGATATTGTTGCTTTTCAGCACTCTGGAGAGGTCCCGGACAGTAGATTTTCCCAGTGCAATACATCTTTTGATTTTCTTACTCTTGGTGCTAAGAGTGTTGATTGTGGAGCCAAGCAAGCTGTAATTGTTAACAACCTCAATCTCTTCTCTGCCTCCAGTGAGCACCCTGCAGCATCTTTTCTGGGACATTATTTGTTTTTTCTTTTGGAAGCCCATGGGCTGCTCAGTACTCTCTTCTAATAACTAAAAAACATCACTTCTTCTTTGGTAATTCTTAGTCATCATCTAACTTTCACATGTGTAACAAGTAATTGAAAAGACCATAGCTTGAGTCAGGTGCAGCTTAGTTCTTAAAACAACATCATTGTTCCTCAGTAATTGGAGAGGTCCTCACAGTGGACTGATCTAATGTAGTATGTTTCCTGATTTCCTGAATGCTGGTACCAAGAGTGTTGATTTTGGATCCAGGTAAAAGGAAATAATTGACAGTTTCAGTCTTTTCTCCATCTATCATGATTGCCTATTGGCCCAAGTATTGAATGTTGAGGATTGAATGTCGTCATTTTTTTTTCTCTCAAATTTTTATTTTATACTGGTTTGCTTACAGAGTTCATGCATATTGTGTTTCACACTGTCCTTCATTCACATTGTGTTTCATACAATCATTCCCATTCATTTTGCTTTATAAATTGAATGTCATCTTGATGTTTACATGCAATCTATATTGAAGACTGTACTCTTTGGTATTCTACAGCAATTGTTTGAAGTCTTTCATACTTTTAGCAAACAAGCTTGTGTCGTCTTCAAAACACTGATTGTTGATGAGTCTTACTCTGATCCTGAGGTGATATTATTTTTCCTAAAGCTGAGCCTCCTGAACGATTTGCTTAGTCTACAGAGTGAAAGACAATGGAGAAAGGTTACTAGTAGATCACCAAAAGAACTTGGAGAAGGTGCAACTACGGTGCTCCTTAGATGTAAGGATAGTAGGACATACTTTGGACATGTTTAGGAGGCATCAGTCTTTGGGAAAGGATACCAGGCTTGAAAAGGTGGAGGGTCAGTAAAGAAAGGGACTATCTTCCATAAGATGGGTGGACAAACTGACTGTAACAATGTATTTAAGTCATATCAGATTATGAGATGGCATATGATAAGACAAGGTTCAGATCAATTGTTTTTAGGGTAATTATGAGTCACAGTCAACTCTAACCATTATATAGTAAAAGTCTCAGAGCTCTGGCAGAGTAGTACATAACTAATTGAACTTTCAAGCCAAAGGCCAGGTATCTTGCTGTCAAAATCCATCAGCTACTCTGAGATAGAAAGGTAGATAGTCTCCTCCCATTTCCATTTACAGTCTCAGAACCCTGCTAGAGGGCTTCTGTGAATTAGAGCCACCTGAATGGCAGTAAGTCTGAGTTTTGGATTTAAAAATCTTGAAGAAACTGTTGGCAGAATTGTGGACAAAGGTTCAACTCTGGGGAAGGCTCAGAAAGACATGAAAAAGGACACACAAAATGTATGAATTTATTTTACCTCTGAGTAAGGAATGTTTGAAAATATCTTATTTTTTCAGTAAGATCACTAATTTGCATGTAATCTGTTGTAGCTATATGTACAGATGCAGTTGTGTGCGTGTTTTTTAAAAGTGTTTGAAGACATTATTTTGAATCTGTCTTAGATTTAATCCTTTTTTAGAATGTAAAAATGTCTGCATCTTTTGAGAGATTCATTTCAGCTAAGTGTTCTGGAAAGGTTAAGGGTAGTTTAGTTAATTTTGTACTTAAGAATTGAAAGCACACCAGATGCTCTGCCGGGAAAGGAGGGACAATCTCCTCCTGTACCAGTCAGATCTGATTTGACGGTACACTCACACACAAAATAATAATAAAATTTTTAAAAAAAATTAAAAAAAAAAAAGAAGTGAAAGCAATGTAGATAAAACTTCTGTAAATAATTGTCCTGAGAAAATATTATAAAAGAGAACCATATGTAAGTCACCTTGCACACATACATATTTATAAGATGTAAATGAATTAAAAAACCCGTTTTGGAAAGTTGTTGATATGCAACAGTCACATTGACTTTCTTTTTTCCAGATATGGCCGCGTCGAAAGTGTCAAAATTCTCCCTAAGAGGGGATCTGAAGGAGGAGTGGCTGCCTTTGTGGATTTTGTGGACATCAAAAGTGCACAGAAAGCTCACAACTCGATCAACAAAATGGGAGATAGAGACCTACGCACGGATTATAATGAACCAGGCACCATTCCGAGTGCTGCTCGGGGATTGGATGATACAGTTTCCATAGCATCTCGTAGTAGAGAGGTTTCTGGGTTCAGAGGAGGTGGTGGAGGGCCTGCTTATGGTCCCCCACCATCACTTCATGCACGAGAAGGACGTTATGAGCGGAGACTTGATGGGTAAGTTCCAAGGTTTCTGTAGGCAGGTATTTTGTATTTGATTTGGTGAGAAACAGAAACTCATAATTAGGGGCCCCAGATGGATTTAAAGTTTTGGGCATTCTGAATGCTTCCTAATTTGGGTTGGAAACTGAAGTGATTTCTATCCCAGTGGCTGGTATCTTGTGGAATCGTAGAGGATATTTCCTACAGCTGTTTGGATATCTACTTTTGAGATATAAGGTGGTGGAAGATTTCCTATGGAAGCATCATTTTTGGAGTTAACAGTCTTCTAGAATTAATGATTCTTTCTTTTGGATCATGTTAAGGCCTTCCTTGGATATATCCTTTCTACCTCATGGAGCTATGTGCTACAGCTTTTGTGGTCATACTATATGGAATATTTTCGGAATATTAGAGCCTACAGATTATTTAGGAGTTGGTGTCTTCTTTTCATTACTTAAGAGTTTACAAACGGATTGTCACAAGAAATCTAGCAGGCCATTTTAATTCAACCTCTTGGATTCTACAAACAGTATTCAAACCTGGAAATGTATCCTTGGATGAAGAAGTGAGAAGGCCATGCTTGAATTTTTCCATTTTGGATCTACATAATTTCCGTGTTGGAATTATACCTCTTGATGGATCGAGGAGGGAATTGAAATAATGAACCAAAACCCTGGAATATAGCTGTTCTTTTCTAATTGTTGGATGTATGGGATATTGTACAGTCAAGACTCTATTAGTCCAGGTGAAGAGGATTACTGTCTTGTTTCTTAAACAGTTGCTGTCCATTTAAAGATACTTTAGCTTTGAACACATTGTGATGGTCACTGTGGATACAGCAATCAAAATGTGACTGGGCTGGATAACTACCAACGTGAACTGTTGGCACACATGCACGTTTCACTTGTTGGAATTTTAGAGGATATTTCTGTCCGCTGCCTGATTTCATACTTAGGACTGGAAATTTTTATAAATGTGGATTAATTTATAATTGTCTACTATCTCAAGAAAGAAGTCTGGGGGTTTGAGAGTTACAGTTTGTCTGGGACAACTTGCTACCTACCAGTGGAATTATTTTGTCTGGTCACTAAGATTTTTTTCTTTTTCTGGTGGTTCATCTAAATGTACACCCTTGCCCATTAAGAAGGTGGATTACCCCCATAAGAGGGGCCAAAATTGGGGAAGTTATGTTCACAATTCTCTCCCTAGATTTAATTGGGATTATAGGTCGTGTTTCCACACTTGGAAAAGGTTGGTATGTCCTGACCTGTGTATTAGCCCCTCTCCTAACCCAAGTCAAACTTTCTCTCTTTTCCCCACTAACTCTAGAAGTATTTTAGTACTAATAGATGGCTCAAAGAATAGCTATTAGATTTCAGCTCTGCTAGTTCTTGTGCTTGCATTCTGTGTCTTCCTAATGGATAAGAACTTTGCATATTTGTAAAATATCACCTATAGTTGTAATTATAGCACTATTGCCTATTACTTCTGTTAATATTTAATGAAAAAAAAAAAAACAACCAAAACCAAACCAACCAACCAAACAAACCTAAAAACCCCAAAACCATTCACTGATTAGCTTTTGATGGAGTGATGAATTCCTTATTTATGAAATTTTGGGTTAAAAGGAAACCTTCTTGTTAGACATTGAAATCTTTGCTGATTCCAGAATTACAGCTAATAAAAAAGGTGTAAGTAATACAATTTAAATAGAAAAGGTAACTGAATTTTTTGCCACACCACTTGTTTTTCATAGTAGCATCAGAAAGCCACAGCAACCTTTGAAGGTATGGTTGCTCCTCAGTGAGATGATAGATGAATATGAAGGATGGTGGAGTTTGGAATTTAGACATACATGATTAGATGAAGGATTTGTCTTTGCTGCAGAGATTCTAATTCTCTATCTTTCATGATGCTTTCAGTTTCTTTCATAAGAAGGCCAAGAGATGAGGCTAAAGAGAAGCTCAAATGAATGGATCTTTTAGGACTCAGAAGATGAGTTCTAATTCTCTGCACAAGTAGAGGATTTAAGACTTTTAAAAAAAATAGCTTTTAATATTAGCATATACTTGCATGTATATGATTGTATTTGTAATTTTTGTATTCTTAGACTGACAAATAATCTTGGTAACAGCAACCTTAACATATTGGACAGCTCGCTTTCAACATTCTAAAATCATCATAGACCACTTAAGTATATCTAAAAGACAAGAGAACGTATTTCTTATAATCATTAAATACATATATAAACAGATTGAATTCTGGGATAAAAATTTTATTGTAAAAATGTGCAATTTATAAAGGAGATAAAATAATGATGATGATTTAATTAAATTTACATAAAATAGCAGGTCATGATTCAATATTTTGATAAGTGGTTTGAGATTTCATTTTTATTGTGATTATGTCCAGCAGTTTACATAGTTTAGCAATTTTTACAATTATTCAAAAAGTGAAAGGTTAATGAGAAAAAGTTGCACTTATATCCATGTTAAAATGCATCAGGAATTTTTGCTTAAAATAAACTTACAAAGTAAATAAAAGTGTATTATATATTTTAGTCAAATGAAAGTATCAAAAACTTTCATATTACAATGAATCTCTGCTTACTGAAACAAACAGAAAAGACGGAATATATCTGTTTCATAATATAATTAAGAAAATCTCAATGGGCATCTGACCTGCAAAACATAATCATGAAAGCCCAGTACACAGTTAAAACAATGATTGCTAAACTGTGAAAATAATTTTTGAAGGCATTTAAAATGTTATGCTTATTGGTATTTGCTTACTAAGTAGGTTAATGCTGTTTAGAAAATGAACAGTGGTGAAAACAAAGACAATGCTGAAGAGAGTGTTTGCATGACTTGCTTTTAGTTTTGCTTTCTCTTTTCTGATTGATTAAATGTTTTTCCCCCTCCTAAATGCAGGGCTTCAGATAACAGGGAGCGTGCTTATGAACATAGTGCCTATGGACACCATGAACGGGGGACGGGAGGATTTGATCGGACAAGACATTACGATCAGGATTACTATAGAGATCCTCGAGAGCGGACTTTACAACATGGGCTCTATTATGCTTCTCGGAGTCGAAGTCCAAACCGCTTTGATGTTCATGACCCCCGATATGAACCTAGGGCTCGGGAGCAGTTTACACTGCCCAGTGTGGTACACAGGGATATCTACAGGGATGACATTACACGGGAGGTACGAGGCAGAAGGCCAGACCGGAATTACCAGCACAGCAGGAGTCGCTCACCACATTCATCCCAGTCTAGAAACCAGTCTCCTCAGAGACTGGCTAGCCAAGCATCTAGACTTACAAGGTCCCCTAGCGGCAGCGGCTCTAGGAGTAGATCCTCCAGTAGTGATTCAATCAGCAGCAGCAGTAGTACCAGCAGTGACAGGTAGGTTAATAGCCTTTTATTATAACAGATGAACTACTAAATCCAACAATTTTCAAATGTTAGATGATTGGTGAAGCTAATGGTTTGTAGCATAGTGACATACTTTTAAAGGAATGTTAATCTGATAGTAATAGATAATAAGTAAAAATATTTTGATATTAGCACTTGGTCATTGAATTAGCCATTTTGTCAAAGTGCCTGAATCTAAGAGATGATTTGTAAATAAGTGCTTTTTCATACTCCAGATGCTTAGTATTAAATTGTTGAAAAATGAGAGAAGTGGTAACTCTGGTTACAAGAAATGGTAGTTTCCAGTGACACTGATAATGAGAGTTTAGTTTCTTAACTGTAATAACTCTATTTTTTGTTAAAGATTTGTTTTAGCGCTATTTGATTAAAATAATGTATTGATGAAGTATTTTGTTTGTTCCTTTATTATTAAATGAATAAGTCTGTTTATGACCATATTTTAATGCCAAGAAAGTATCGTTTTAAAATTAAAATATAAAATATTTTTTAAAATGCAAATTCTAACTTTATTTTGTATTAAGTAAACTTACTCAATTAGAAGAGAATTCTCATAGGAGAGATTTATTCAGAAATTGAAAATAAGAAGATGATAATCTTAATGGTAAACTACATAATGGGTTTTGAAATCATAGATCTAAATAGAAGGTAAAACTTAGTATTATTATAACATTGGATAAATTACATAAGCTCTCTAGACCTCAGCCACCTCATTGTTTATAGTAAGAATCTTACTTCATAAAATTATTTTGAAGATTAAAATGAAAAATGCATCAAAACACTTAGCTTGTTATCCAGGACCATTGCTGTCTAGTTTATCCCAATACAGAATGACTCTCTAGCAGAGTAAGGGTGCCTCAGAGGGTTCCCAAAGCTATAATCTTTGTAGAATGAGACTGTAATATTTTTGCTGAGTGAAGTAGTTATGATATTTGAACTGCTGTCTTTTTGATTAATAGCTCAGAGCTTAAGTACTGTGCCACCAAGACTACTTTGCTTGATACTAAGTACATGGCAAGTAAATGTTGCTCTTAGTAATTGTTAACTATTATTATTGCATGTTACTAGTCTTTAGACAAAGAAATTGGCTACTTGATTCTTTCCTCTTTCTAGTTTTTATTTGATTTATCGATACTAAACATGCTAGTTTTAAATATGTATGGTATAAATTTAAATGTATAAAATATAAATCTTTTGACCTAATTAAGGCACCTAGACTATTTATCTTTCTCTTAGTAGTGCTTGTTTATTTTTGCATATGTTAATTATATGACCCTTTGCCTTTCTTTTTTTTGTTGTTACTATGTACCGTCGAGTCAGAACTGACCCATAGCTGACCCGTGAATGGATTTTCAGAGACAATAAATTACATGAGAGGAGATTGCCCATTTGAACTGCATGCTTTTCAGATTGCACCACTAGGGCACCAGAGCTCCTTTTCTCTTTTTAGGCCTCTAAAATTTTCTAAGTTAAAATAGTAAATGCAAACTTTATACATAGATGTTTATATAATTACAATGTTCTATAAGACGTAGTATATTATAATGGAACAAGAATTTAATTGAGGAAATCAGGAGAGTTGGGTTTTGGCCCTAAATTTAAAGTTCTGTGACATGATGAAACCTCTTTCAATTTCTTGATTCAATGTGGTAGCTTGATCTAGGGAAATTAGTAATGAAAATCCTTTGAACTTAAGAAATTAATTTTAAAATCTGTTACTCTTTATTCTGAATAGCCTTGACTAAGATATTAAAATATTAGCTATTTCCTCCAAATCTACCTCATTAAAGAGATGCTACCATATTTGATTGCATCAAAACTTATTGAAAAGCCAGTTTATTATGTAAGTTGAAGGAGAAATAATCATATGAGGCCTTCAGAGGGACATTGTGATTTGCTGGAAGTAACAGTGATATGATCTCACGCATTTAACAGCATTTTAGACTGTAAAGCTTGACTCTGCAGGTGATCTGCCAGTTTGATGGAGTTAATTTCTTTTCATCTAATTAGAAAAAAAAGCAGCTATTCTGAATATTAATGTACGAATAAAAAAGATGACTGCCAGATGGGCAGATTATGCTTAGAAAATCTGCAGGAGGGTCTAGCTTAAAGAGTTAGTGGTCAAGGACTTGTATCTTTTGGAATCAAGTTCTGGTGGCTATATTTATTATTTATACCAAAAGATAGAACTTGGAGAGCCAAATCTGCCAGTGGATGGTTTTGACTTAGGTAGTATTAGAAATGTAAAATTTTGTCAGTGTTTCAAATTACAGCTTCACCTTAAAGGCCAGATTTTAGGCTCCTTGTGATTTTACCACCTCTCGTGCAGGTGACCCTGCTTGCAAAAATGAAGCACTTGCTGAAGAAGATCAGAGACTACAACCTTCAAATGAAACTACAACATCAGGAAACCAAAATTCTCACAACTGAGCCAATAGGTGGCAACATAATAGATGGAGGAAAGGTTGAAGTTAGTAATTTAATTTTACTTGAATCCACCATCAAAACTCATGATATCAGCAGTTAAGAAATCAAAAGATATGTTGCATTAGTGAAATCCGCTGTCAAGGACCTCTCTGAAGTGCTCAAGAGTATATAGTTTTAAAGAATAAATGTGCCTGACTCAAGCCGTGACACCTTCTATTGTTTCATATGCATATGGAAGTTGGCCAGTGACTAAGGAAGACTGAAGAATTGCTTCCTTTTAATTTTGGTCTTGGTAAAGAGTGTTGAAATAACCTGTGGACTGCCAGAAGAACAAACATATCTTTCTTGAAGGAAGTGCAACCAGGGTGATCCATAAAGGCAAGGATGGTGAGATTCTATCTCCTGTATATTGGGCAGGTTGTCAGAAGGGGCCAGTCCCTGGAAAAAGAAAGTGTGCTGGGAAAGTAGAGGGTCCATGAAAGAGAGGACGACCTTCACCAAGATGAATTAACATCGAGGGAAGATGCTCAGGAGAGGGTGTGGTTATGTCTTAGTGCAGCCGCACCTAATTAACTGCAATGTTGATCAAAGTGTGTGTGACAGAAGGGAACTCTGGTGGCTTAATGGTATGGATCTGCAGTTCAGATCCAAAACCTGTTCAGCAGAAGAAAGAAGGGCAGGCAGTTGCCTCTCATACGCTTTACTGACTCTGAGAAGCCCCTAGAGGGTCAGCTGTGGGTCAGTTCCAGCTTGATGGTACACAACAACCACATGCCTGACAAGAGGATAAGGATACTGATGTCTGACTCAAGATAACTTCTACCCTAGGGCTGACAGATTCCTGGCTCTGCTTTCTTGTTTCTTCTATCTTTTCTCTCTTGAAATGTTTTTTTCCTTTCAGAAAGGTTATATAGTAAATTCACTTTGGTTTTGGGTCTTTTAGTCATATTTTTCAAAACTAACATTTATATTGTAAACTCACAGAAGGCTTTTAGGATAGATTACTTAACCTCATCCATTTACTTATTGAAAACAAAGTTTCACTGAAGGGGCAATTCTTATGTAGTGACAGGTTTTGTTTCTGTACATAAAAGAACAATGAGAGAACAGAGAATAATTTGACAACTACGAAGTTGCATAGGGTAGCTTTTGATAGGGACAGAACTTTTATGCAGAACTTTTAACAGGAAGAGACAAAATTTAGGCTAGGTTGGGATTATCCAGGCATGTTGTTTGAATCCACCAGCTATTCCACAAGAGAAGTATGGGCAGGCATTCTCCTCCTGTGTGATTAACTGCCTCTGAAAACCCGCTGGAGTATGTATGAGCTATGAGTTGATTCTTACTCTATTGCAAACAACAACAGAAAGTGGATTGTTAAGCGTATAGAATTAACAATTTAAGAGATTCAAATGGTTGGAAACAGTCCTTTGAGAATAGCAGATAACTCAGAATGACCTAATCATGTTAATAATTTTAGACTTTATTCTGTATGGAAGGTAAAGTTGATGAAGGATTTTGAAATGGGACATACTTTTATTGAGATCTGTGCTTTACAAAATCAAACTCCATTGGAACAGGAAAGACTGGGTCTCAGGATTCCAGTTAGAATAGCTATTTTAGTAACATGAAGAAAAGGTAGATACCTAACTTGAGACAGGTGCGAGAGACATTTTATTAAAAATCAGATTATATTGGTGTTTTGTTTTGTTTTGTTTTTGAGAAATAATTCTGTTAAAAATAGAGTGGATTTTTTTTTGCATTTGACTGAATAGTAGACCCTCTGAGGCTATCTTGTAAATATTGGTTCAGTTATTTTAATACAGACTACTGAGTCTAGTATATTGCCTTTCTCAGAGTACATGTTTTGTAAATAATTTTTAGGTATAATTTATTATTAACACAAAGAGTAAATAATAATTAATGTAAATAATGTGGTTAAGTTTTGATTGAAGCAAGATAACAAATAAATCCTGTTGTTCAGAGCATATACATTATAACTGCATTCCTATTTCTTTTTTATCATCATCTTTTTTTTTAGATTTTATTTTAATAATTTTAATGAACATTTATAGAGATTTTGGATTTCCATTCATTCATTGTTGCACTTTTCTCCCTGCCCAGCCCTCCCCACTCGCCCCCCGCCCCAGTTCGCTCCTCTCTTTGAAAAGTAAAATTCTTTCTTTGATATACAATCCCCCAACACCCCTCCCACTGCCCTAAGTACACTCCACTATGCAACCTTAATTGTGGACTCTTGTGATAATCGTAATACCCTATCATACATCACTTTTAAATTCTTCTTTCTCTCATCTGTTTCAATGCAGTATATGCAATTTATCCAGTTTTTCTCAGTCTTACCCTAACCCTGATATCAGTCCCATTTTATAGCAGTGGCACCATGCAGTATTTGTCCTTTTGTGACTGAGATATTTCACTCAGCATAATGTCCTCCACGGTCACCGATTTTGAATAATATTGCATGAGCTCCTTGTTTTTCAATGCAGCGTAGTATTTCATTGTGTGAATATACCACAGTTTCTCTA